GCTTGAACTAGATGACCTAATAAGGCTTTTCCATCTCAATTTCTTGGTCCTTGTGCTCATAAATTCTCCTGTTCTTTCTTCCTTTATTATTATTCTTATCTTTTGATGGGACTTTTGAAAATGTCTGTGAAAAAAGACCCACATTAGAAATAGCTTATTCACTGATGGTAGGGGGAAAAACACCTTATTCATTTCATTCTATTAAGTAGAGACAGTAAATACTCACTTCCTCATTCATTCAATAAATATTCTTTCATTGCCTACTATGTTCCCGGCTCTATTCTATGAGTATGAAAGTTCAGCATCCTACCTCCAACCCAACCTAATGCCTTGGTTTAAAAAAAAATAAATAGGAGTAACGTATCCATAGCGTGCTTGATTCTCTGACCCATAAATAAAAAAATCAGTATTATATAAAATGGAAGGGTGCTATGTGAGAGAAAGAATGAGATTGAGGATGACTCTTGCCCTCAATGAGCAACAAAATAATTCCATATGTGCTGCTATCAGCTCCATTTCCTCATTTTGCAAGTCCTGGTGCTGTGTTCTATAAGAATATGGGAAGGTGGGGTAGAGAAGATGGCCAAAAGGTCTAGCTTTCCCCATCCTATAATGGTGAATCAAATGTACCTACTTTAATATTCCTCTGCACTGGTTATAGGTGTCAGGAATCCTAGGACCTGCTATAAAGCTCATAGGCAACACGGAAAAAAGAACATTATTTTGCCTAGACATACTCAGGGTATACTAGTTAAAGCACTCTACAATTTCCACGCTATAGAAATTGTGCTAGATATTGGTGATGGAAAGTAAATAAAGCAGAGGTCAATGTCCTCACAGAACTTGCATAAAATATATAAATATAAGTATATAAATATAGCCATTATTATGCAATAAAGTTCTACCTTTATACTTTGAACAAGTTGAGTGCAGAATTTCTCAAACTTATTTGACCATCCATGGAAAGAAATTAAGATTATAATGTATCTAATGAATATTGGCAAGAGATCGTTAGATGTATTAAAAGTGTGGGAAAGGTAAACAGCCAAAAACAACCCCCTCCAAATAACCTCAAAACAAACTTATAAATTAATTCTTTGCTGCAAGAAATGACAAAAATTTTATTAGTTTAATATGCAATAAACATTATGTATCAAAATGTTGTCAAATTATAACAAAATTTGCAACATTGACTTGTTGGACTCAAATGGAAAAATAAAACCTCATAACTCTTTATTTAATTGCTGCCAATATGAGGCTGCACAGGTTAAAATGTCTACACATCTACTGATTTCATGAAACTTAAGTCTTAAAGGAGATGATTTTACAATTAGGTAGACTATATAAATGTGATTTCTTTTGAAATTATTTGTATGCTTAAGATATATTTTGGAAGAAAACATATTGCAAGCTTTGGTTTAGTGTTTTTGTGGAGCAGTATTAGCATCTCCTGTGATATGATGTTTTGTGCCATGTGGACGAGAGGAGGAAGAGTGTTATAGACAGAGAAATCACTATGAGCAAGTACGTGGACATGAGTATGTGGGAAACAGCATTGTAGCTGGAGCCAAAGAAACATGGGAGGGGGCCAGGGGAGGGATTTGAAGTTAGGCAGGCAGGTGGGGGTCAGTTTGTGAAAGGAACTCAACATTTCTGCCTTCTACTCCTAATGTTACTCTGGTAAAGTTTAAAGTTGACCATGTTTTAGCTATTTATATGTTCCTTCCTTCTTTAGAACTTGCCATGTCTAACCACCAGTGAGCCATCTGTACATATGCCATCAGTTTCATCCCCCAAAATTTACATTTAAGCCCTTATTATATCTGGACCATGTGCTAGACAGTTTCCATGTAAGATCATGTTAATATTCATAAACATTTTGCAAAAGCAGTATTATTAAACCGATATTAGAGTTGAGAAAACCGAGGCTGAATCTGTATGTGAATCCAACCTACTCAACTGTAAGTTCATTTTACTTTAATAATTGAGCTTTGTAACGGCATTTGCTCAAGTGTGCACATAGAGGATAAAGCATGAGGAAAAAGCATTCTGTGGTTACATTTAAGTACAGGGACCAAACTGCACTATGTCTCCCCCTTGAAGACTCACAATACACTTGTAATTTAAAGTCCCAGTGAAATCTGAAATAAAGAAATCCATTTACTTTTGTTTAATTTGAGTATTTCACAAACTTTAGTTGATTTTCAGAGAATTTTTTTTTTTTTTGAAAACATTTAACATTCCAGGGAATACTTTGGGACACTTTGCCTTAAGAGTATATCGGGAGAACCTTATTAATCGAAACTCAACTCATTTAGAATCAAAGAAATATAAACCTTATCCTGTGCTCTTAAATCAATATTTGTTAGAGTGAGGGTCATGACTCATTGGCCTGTAAAATCAATTAAACGTATCCTGATCAATATCTCGAAAAGAAAATGAATACGAGGAAAATATCAGGATTGTTGCATGCAGCAGGGGTAAGTACTGAATCATGAAAGTTTTACTGGGTCACAATGTAAAATGCATTTCTCTCTGTGGTCATGGCCAAAAATGTCTAAAGCCACTGCTTTCCTGAAAGTCACATGAGTACTTGTGTGTCAGGAGTTAGGTGATAACAAATGTCTGAAAGTTGTAAAATTAACACAAAAAGGACTACTGTGACACCATGGCTAAATACATTTTTTGTTATTACTTAAAATCAGAGAATTTTAGAGCTGAAGTATGTCATAGGAGAGAAACCAAAATAGAGTTCAAGGTCAGACAGCTGTTAGCTGGGCCTAGAATCCAGGTCTCCTGGTTTGTACTGTAGTATTCTTTTACTTGTCAGTGTAGATTGACAACATTTTTATTTATAGAATGTTTAGGGTTATTTCTTTTTAATAAGAAAGCCAGGTGCAAGTTTCAGCAAATCACTCGGGGATAGCAAGTCAATGACAGGTTACAAAAACGCTACAAGTTTTAAGTGAAGGAAAAAGGTAATTTAGAGATCCTTCACTGCTGGGCTCTAATTCTAATTCCAATTAATAACTAATCAATTAACCTAGTACCCTGTGTTATTAGATGGGGTCACTTAGTTATCTGGTTTCTCATTTGCATATGTAAATGTCCTGGATATATGATTTTGAGAAGACTTAGCAGATATTACACCAGTGAACATCAATCTTGCATAACGTAAGCTTTACGTTACCTCTCTAGGAATAAATAATGAATCAAAATTACAGGAACCCCCTCCAAACTCACACTTTTTTTTTAAAAAAAGGAACAGGAACTATGATTTATTTAAGCACTTCACAGCACAACAGACATTAGCTTCTATACGTTTTATTTTAGCTAGGCTTCTTCAACACTCTTTTCAGGTTATGTCTTTAAGATTATACCCAAACTTATGCCTAACCACTTCTCTCTCCTGGTCTGTTCTGGGAGGAGGGGTGTCAGAGACTAGTCAGTGGAAGTTAGAGATTGAAGATTCCTTTTCTTTCTCTCTGCTCCCTGGCGAGCTCCCGCAGGAGTCTACCCCTGGGAGGTGGGCCTGCCTCGGATTCCACCCGACTCTCAGGTTGGTGTCATCTGCTCCCAGGGAGTTCCAGGCCAGTGGGCAGAAATCATTTGATAACTTAATCTTGCTGTGAGGAAGAGACGCTGAGGCCTGTGTACTCTAGTGATAAACGGGAAGTATGCGGTCGAGTCAAGGAAGGGACACGGTATCTTTTAAAACGAATATAAACGAATAAAGCATAAACAAGAGCTTAAAGGGCAGGGCACCCTCCCTCCAAACGTGGGAGGAGACTGGTGTCTGGAAGGGAGAGATGACCGCGTCGCTGAGACCCGGAGGTGGCGGGGAGACCCTTCCCTGGCTTCCATCACAGTGGAGGTTGGAAGAGGTGAATTTCCTCCAGCTGAGGACCGGCCCTCGTACCCTCCCCCTTCCTATAATTACCGCGCGGCGCGCCAGTCCCGACCGGTGGCGCCCCTCAGCCCTCCCTCGGGGGAAGGCGAGGCTCCCGGGGCCGGGGGACGAGCCCG